AGGATCTCCAGCTAGGAGACAAAGATGCCGGGAAGAGAAATCCCAAAGCTTTTGCAGTTCAGTCTGCTGTGGGGATGGATCAATCCTTTCACAGGTATGTTTAGCTACAGTCTGTTGGTTCTTCCACTGATTCTTTTTAAACAGTAGGAGCCTCTCACAGGTGACATTTGGATTCACGAGTTTAGTCCCGCTCCAAAGGACCTGCAGATGCATGTTGTGTGGCTTTCACTAAAATGTGAGAAGCTTTGCCATAGAAGCTGCCTTGCCTCCAGCATCTGTACACTGGTTGGTGTTTCTTGCCCAAGATACAAGAATTTATAGAATTTGTTTCTTCCTAAACTTTAAACTGTTTCTATGGTGATAAGTGTGCTTTTTCCCCCCGGATATGTTTTACAAAGTTGTAATATAAAATACAAAAATTACAGTATGTAATACTAACATAGCTTTATTTAGTGAGTGCTTGTGATATTCTTAGCAGTATACTTTAAACATTATTCAGCTAAATCCTTCCAGCAGCCTTACCAGAGTAGGATCATTCCTGCCCTCATTTTGTGGACAAGAAAACTGAGGTCAAGAAAACAAGTTATCTCCAATCATATAACCAGTAAGTAGGAGAGCCAAATTTCACTCCAGAGCCTCTGCTCTTATCTGTTATGATGCACTGCCTCGGTATTTACCTTTTGGTTTTTAAAAAACTATTAAAATCACTCATAAAATAGTCAGATTTAAGGAGTGTTTAATTTTCAACTCTCTATACTATTGAAGTCATCTTGTTACATCTTTATTGAACAGCAATTGATTTGGATGGGGGTCAGAAGTTAATAATTGACAAGTTACTTATATTTGTATATTGTCTGTTGTATTCTCTATAAAATATACTAAAGTACTCATATCTGTAAGTATACTTTAAAAAGTTTACTTATAAGGTTGATACCTTTTACTCTATTTTGAAAGTGAGTTTATTATTATTATTTTTTTAAATAAATAGGACTCAGGATTTGAAGACAAAAAGCATCATATTCCAGTGGTTGATCGAACTCCACTAGAGCCCCCATCAATAGTGGCAGTGGTGACGGGGCTTCCAAAGTTGGAAAGAGCACTTTGATATAATGCCTCATTTGGAACTTCGCCCGGCAGAAGTTGACCGAGATCACAGGCCCTGTGATGGTCGTGTCAGGTAGGAGATGCCGCTGCAGACACAGAGTTGGCGTGGCTGTTGTCATCTGAGGGACATGCATGTGTTTGTTGTTTTCTTGAGTGGAACATGTTAAATATTGTCATATTATGTTACCTCTCTTATACTTTTACTAAGTTAGTTATAACTTCAGAAAAGGGTAAGTTCCCAGAGATAAGGATGTGATACGTATCTTATCCTGACTGCTCTATGGCTTTGCCAAGCATGTTCCTTGGAAGGGCCTAGCAGGCCTGGTCACTGTGAACACATCATTTAACAGAGAGCACGTACCTCCTATGTGCCAGGTGCACATGCTTGCCCTTATGAAGCCACATGCTGGTGGAAGTGCGCCTTCTCTCTTTTTCCTATGAGAATTTGTCTGCTTTGGGAGATGGTGAGGTTTCCAAGTTTGAGGGAAGATGAAACAAACTTCCAGTGGTAGAATGGCAATGCATACTCTGAAATCTCTTGTTATTGCAGTAATATAGTTGGATTGAGGCTTTTCTTTATCTTTGGAGCTTTCGCATTTTCTTTTCCTTTTTTTGAGACAGTGTCTTACTCTGTGGCACAGGCTGGAATGCAGTGGTGTGATTACAGCTCACTGTAGCCTCAACCTCCGAGGCTCAAGGAGTCCTCCTAACTTAGCCTCCTGAGTAGTGTATGCCACCATGCCTGGCTAATTTTTCTTTTTTTTTCTTTTTTTGTTTCATTTTTACGTTTTTGTAGAGATCGGGTTTCCCCATGTGGTCCAGGCTGGTGTTAAAACTGGGCTCAAGGGATCCACCTGTCCTGGTCTCCCAAGGTGCTGGGACTACAGGCCTGAGCCACTGTGCCCAGCCCATATTTTCTTGACCATTTTCTTATTACCTTAATTTAGAAATAATTATCATTATAAGTATTCTGTTGCATTATGTTTGAGGATGTTTTTAGCGATAGTGGGAATACAGGAATTTTGATAGAGGTGAAGACATTGGCCCGCAGCTGAACAGCAAGATCATGGTTATCATGGAGCCTGTCGAGCCAGAATTTTCCCTGTTTGAGCACTTTTATTCATCTGGGTAGACTTTTGATATTATCTAAATTTAGAACACAGGGAAAAAAACAGGATGGAATTTATTTTATTTTACCAGTTTTTGCCTATAAAAATGAACTTCTGGTATACTCCTGTAAATGTATATGGTGTTTCACTGTATACAAATGTATATGGTGTTTCATTTCAATTTAAAAATGAAAATTAAGAGTTCATGGTTAGAATTTTTTCAGGGTCTTTTTAAAGTAAAATTTTCATCTTTTCACTTATAGGTAAAAAGCACAGACTCGCCATTATTGAATGCGGGTGTGACATTAACATGATGGTTGATCTGGCTAAAGCAGCAGATCTGGTAAGTCAGCAGGGGCAGCCTGGGGTGCTGATGGAGACTTACAGCGTTGTGATAGGTTATTTACCCTGTGATGAAGGGAAGAGAGTTTTATGATTATTAAAGGAATCATGGTCAATATCAGGGATACAGTAGATGTGACTGAATTGATGACGACGATAATAATAGTAATAAATGTTGTTATATTAATAATACAGATGGAATGTGCACAATGAAATGTATTCCAAAATCTAAAAGCAAATGACAGCGTGGAGAAAACCTTTAATGAACACAGCTAATAAGAGCTCATTAACATGCATACATATATACATACAAATATATCATAGTAAGTACCATTTCTTCTTGGACCCTTCCTGGCACTGTGCTAACTGCTTTCTACAAATTTAGCTTACATGAACCCTTGATACACCCTTGAGGTGAGTAGGTATTATCTGTAGTTTACATAAGATGAAACAGAGCTTCCCAGCAGTTAAGTAATTTGTGTAAAGATGGGACCCTTGTTCCTGATGGTTCTAGAACCTTCATCCTTAATGATAATGCTAAAGTAAGTACATGAATTGCCTGAAGAAGTGGTCAGAATTTATCAATAGAAAATGTAGATAGTACTCAGTGTGTGGAAAATGTACACGCTCTTGCATTTATGGAAATGATAATGTTCACTATTTCTGATATTCTATTAACTATCTTTTGAATTAGCAAAAATAAAATACAAATTAGCAAAAAAAAAAAAACAAAAAAAAAAAGGCCAGACACGGTGGGTCACACCTGTAATCCCA